TGAAAGTCGGTGTTGCCCGCCGTTTTGTGAATGACATCCGTGAATGGCTCGAACAGTTGTGATGCTCCAGCAATGATTTATGTTGGGTGGAGGCTTGGCATGTGCGATGGCCGGCCATCACACGTAATGTTGATGTTTGTTTGCTCTGTTTGTACTCTGCTTATCGCGTGTCTTGTTATCGCGCTTTCCACTATGTAATAAGTCTATTGAAGGTGATTGTGCGCAAAAAGTAATAATCCGACGGGTGCTTCAGCTATCGTAAGGAGAGCTCTGGTCGTCCGCGGTGATCCCCACGATTATGCAGAATTGGTCTCGAACGTCTGAAAAGTTTCCTGAATTATCTGAGCCCGTCTTTCTAATATAAACTAGGTGTTGCATAGCACTTGCACCTAAGGGCTGATTTAAGAAGTTGAGACACGAAAATATGTGGACTTCAAGCTAATTCATTCCCCGAAACCAAAGAACGTTCCTGTCTAATATATCATATAGATCATAGGACATTCCAAATTCTTTCTACAGACTATGCCCCAAGCTTGTATGCTCGGAGCAAAATTCCTATCATTGGGTCAAAAGGACTAGTACCGCCAGTCGTGCCTAATCAGAAGATTTTGCGTAGTAGTTCTTTAAGAAAGCCGTCCGCTTTGGCCGCTTGCTTAGGGAATATCTTTTGGGTTTCTCTGGTGTACTTCTTGAGCGCGGCTTGGTTTGGAAATCTTTGAACCGTCGCTCCTGTGCGACGACAGTCAATTAGGTCAAAGATATTGATATGCACTGTAGCAAGAGCCTTTAGGATTTAGTCCGTGAATCTAAGCCACTGATAACTAAAAACAAGGGAAAACATACCTTTCGGCACTGTGTGACGCTAGCAAAAGGCCCCTCGAGCCGCAGTTCCTGACAGAGAGCTTGGTAGTTTTGGAGCTTATTGCCGATCTCATAATAATGCGCAAACTCTGTGCTTGCGAATTTGGCCAGTTCTTTTCTGTATCTCTTAGAACCAGTACTCCAATTCATATGATGTGCTAGACGAGAAAATTCTTCGGTCGTGGAAAGAGACGGGTTAGGCTGGAAGCCTGGAAAACGGGAGAAAGAGGCATCCTCCATTTCCTCCTAAGTACAAATAGTCTGAGGAGCTTAGAGCGTGTGTTGACTCAGTAGGGCCTATTTGGCTATTCTTAAATAAAGCTTAGCATTTTCGTCCTGCTCTTTGTTGACGATGTTGAGGTAAATTAAAAGGGTGACTCTAGAATACCAGTGGCTGCCTAACTTGGCATCTTTGCATACCCAGGAGAGATAAGAAGAGATCACTGATTGGTAGCGGCTATTAGGTGATGTATCATACGCGCACAGTGTCTTTCTCTCCAACTGCATGCATGAATGGTTGCGACGTGTCTTCCCAAACGTGGCAGCATGAGACCGCTTTCTCCGTTGAGGTTAGGTGGAAGTAAGCTATTAACGGGCCCACCCAAAAAGAGGCGGATGGTCAAGAAAGGCACGACAAAGTCAGCTTCACATTACGTGTATCAATTATACAACAGATACCTCCATAACCCCACCTTGATATCCTCGCTCAGTTCACTCGAAGATCTCCTGGAAGGTCTTGTTAATCATACTCGGTCAACAATGCAGGATGGCACCCAATCCAGCCCCATCAACCGTGGAGTTTATCCATGGTATGATAATGAGTAACGAATTCACCCCCTCCCAGATGGCTAAGGCTGCTGGCTGCAATGAGAGTACAACTAGGTGGCATGTCTATAACCTGCGCCTGTTTGGTCATGTGAAGGCGTCTCGGAATAATGCCAATCTAACCGTAAGAAGCAGCGGCTATGTACAGAGATTGAAACTTTCCATAAATCTATCATCATAGAATGTCATATAATCAGAACATGTACGTTGATATGTAAATCTAAATCAAGGGTATCGCCTTATTTGTCCTTCTTGTTCTGCAGTCGTTTTGCACGGCTAGAAAGAGAAGCCGCCGTCAACAAATCCTTCTCCGTTTCAGACAGCGTTTCCTTAATTTCCTCTATGGCCATTAAAGCTTTTAGTTCCTCCTTAGCCTGTTCGACTTGTTCGTCGGTCGGTGTGTCCCTAAGAAAGCCAATGACGATACTCTGACTGTCAGGGTCATCAACCCAGTTTGGGACCCTTTCCAACGACTCGCGATTGTGGCGGTAGTAGCTGAGGATGGACGCGAAGCTCTCGCGAGCCTTTTGGTCACTCATGGTCGAAATGATTCGGATGAGCAGGTTTTGTTCAGATAGAGGTCCTTTCATAATATAAGCATATATCATTGACTGAATTTCAACTCTTGTTACCTACCTTCCCAATTATTTTTGATCCTGCTGCCAAAAAGAAAAGAAAGAGGTGTCGAGTTGGGGCGGGGTAAAGAGGGGTTAAGTATTGAGGAACCCAGTTGACACTCGGCATACCCTTGCACTTGGACTCCAACAAGATGACCAGTGGCTGGACAGAAAGGAATTCCCACCCACAGCCTTGCATTAAATCACCTGATAGGCGCTTTACTGTTTGTTTGAGCGCAGGTTGAATATCTCTCAGCATCCATGGCCATAGAATCAATTATTTGCGGGCGCCACTAATTATTAGACCGCAGCGCAACTCAATGCTAGATAAATAAATACTTGATCATAATACAAGTAGCTTCTCAATTGGATAGTGATCGTCGAAACTCTCATTATCCTGAGTGCAATGGCCAGCCTTGTGCCGCACAAGCTCATTCATATCACGCTGCTGTTCTTGGTCCAAAAGCCGTATTCGGTCATCAAGAGAGGTAAACGTTCCATAATACCGAGGGTCGATAAATGTCCAATAGATCTCATCGAACATAGAGCTATATCTTGCTGCTAAGCATACCCAAAATAATCCAGTATCCATTGAATGTTGCATCCGTGGAGAGAGGCGCTGTGACTCAGATAGGGAGTGTTGGTTTATCAACTCGTTTTCACAGTCACCAAGAACTTTCAAAAAGGCATGAAGTCTGGGGGAATAACGGTTCAGAAACTGGTTGAGATCACCCTCCCAGTCCTCCGGGCTTTGCAACAAGAGCCACCAAGGAGCTACATATGTAAACTCAGCAGGCGCAGCATATGTGAACTCCCAATCAATAACTCCCGAGACACGGGAGGTATCACAATCCACAAGGACGTTTGAAGGACGAAAGTCGTCACAATATAGCCGAAACGGCCCTTGAGGGCGCTGGGGGAAGATTTTCTCCATAAGATTAAGAAATAAACAACGAGCGGTGAATTTTTTCCGGCAGTCCTCCTCACTGTTAACAGCATCTCGTTGCTGTAATCGAAGATGGAAGAGATGCTGCATAGCAAGCGCTTTAAAATAGTCCGTGGCTGACCTGAAAGGTTGCAAGGGGAAAACCTCTTCAGGCAAATTTGCAGACGCCATTAACTCATTCATGTTGAAGGTGAGAGGTCGCCTAGCAATGGAAATACCCCGCTCATCCTCAGCAAGCGCACCTATAGAATCAAATTCATGCTTGGACAATTCGAGAATAACCTTAGCCATTTCGTAATAAGCCCACTTCAGGCTCCGATCGCTTATCTGCGGGTTCAGGACTGGTCTTCCTTCTATAGAAGGATCTTTGAGAATCTGTGACAATGGCACGCCTTCGAGAAATGACATAACAATGTAAGGGCCCGCCCAGCAATTACCAGTGCCGAACACTTCAGGAACAGTTATGGAAGTGCTGTGCCGTATGTACTCCATCGTTGCGACTTCATTTTCGACTTTTTCCCTGCGGAGAATAGCCCTTCCAAGGGAAGCGAAACGAACAATGACATGTACATCATCATCATATCTGACCCTGTAGCATATATTGAAAGCACCACTTCTCCATAGGCATGCAGACTTAGTTTTTCCAGGCCGATGCTTCTTAGCAAGCTGCATAGACAATTCTTCTGGGTGTCGGTTCGACCAAAGTTTCAACCAAACGGTAGCTTTCTGTTCCTGTTTCTTTTCAGCAATATGGTCAAAATCCATGGCTATCTTGTGGTTGCAGTTGCGAGGGAAACGAGAATGATGCTGGACGGTGATGATCGAAGAATGGGATTCACCCTGTCGCAAAAGGAAAGCAAAACAAAGGGGCAGAACCCCTTTTTGTGTTTCGGAATCGGAATCGGATTAATTAATAGGACCGTACCAGCCACATATAACTTGCACCTACTATGTGCCAAGCACCTAGTGTTTTGCCACGGTCGCAACGAGCTGTGTAATCTACCCATCCTATACGCTTTAAGCAAAACCGAAGCAAAGCTCAACACATAGCAGAGCTCTGTGCGCCCACATCCCTCGATTAGGTGGTTTCATTACATCTTGTAGACGGGGCCGATTTCCGCGACCGTATCTGTACCGAAGATCCGAAGCTAGTCCCACAGTGCTCCATTCTACCAAACTTTAATGTACCCAGTTAATAATATATTATTAACGTCCTGAAATTTCCACGACTCACAGGTGATAATGTTTTTGCCAATGAAGGCGATTCTCTACTGTAACAACTGCATGATTTCTAAACACAATACGGTATATATCAATTCATTCTGTCCTAACTGTTGTTGTTTCACAATGCTTGATCCAGAGACTGATCTCGCCAACGAACCGGCGGGCGACCCCAACTTTCACGCCCCTGCTTGACGAAGAAATTCGTGTCTTGGTTTGTAATGCTTTTTCCCTCCTGGATCAGGCCGGAGTATTGGTCTTCATGATAGCATGGTGGACCAGGCAACGTATTTTGCTGTACACATCCCTCCAGACTGAAGCCTGTTTAGGAGAGACTCAGCACTAACCTGACCATCCTGCTAGTTACTGATGAATTTAGTTTTGTCAGCTTTCCTTGATGGGGGAAGGTTGCTGTCCTCTATATAGTTAATAAATATGAAAATCCTGAGCTGCTTCTTAGGCTGACGAAGTAGATTTTGCCACATGAGGCTCTGCCTATTTTTAGCTGTCCAGACGATATCAGTCTTCTCAAAACGCTTAGGAAGATCCCGCTATGAACATTCATTTACGGATACTGTAGTATCGTCTAACTCACTCGTCGTGACGGACTATTTCCCCATGTAGCACACTTTCAGCCTTCTGCTTAATCTTCTGCCAATACGAACTGGGCCTGGAAACCAGGTGTTGTTCTGTATCTTTTGCTACGACCCGGTTATTAAGGGTCACCTGCCACTCGATCAAATAGGATATAGAGGACAGATGCTCATCTTCTGTTCCTCCACTATTCAATTGAGCATCATCGTGGAGACCTGGTTGGCTAGACTGGGATCGTGACAAGCGTGTGGAATATCCCAAAAACGTACGGCTAGGGGGAGGACAGTGACCAGATGGTGGTATTTTCGGTGCTGAAAACAAGGAGTTGGGGCATGCGATAGAGTTTGTTCCCATGGCTCAAGTGGAGAGAGACCATCTCCTCGAGGGAATAAATGCCACCAAGAAGCCTAAGTGTCCAGAGCATGTTAGCATTCATCCAAGAGACGTGTTTCACACTAGGGAAAGCAGCTGCTGACAAGCTAGAAAGAATGATAGACAGGATCATTGACATATTCCACTTGGACGCCTCGAGCACTTCATATAAGCACCGAGATGCCAGGATGGCGAGATTTGAACAGGAAGGGTGTTGACAGATTGCCAGATTTGCCAGACTCATGCTTTCTTTTCCTTTCCTTTTTGCTTTTTTTTCTTTTTTTTTTTTTTTTGCCTTTTTTATGGGTTGTGGGGGGCAATAGCTGTCGCTGCGGTGCCAAATTATGCCACAATTGCGTCCTCGATTGCACCTCCTGAGTTTGAATATGAGGCTCATGAGCATCCGGTACGAGCTGACCCTCCAAAAGCGCGCGAGAAATCATTGAATGAGTATTTGCGAACAGCCTATGACACTGACAAGGGACTGTTATACGGACGGCCTGGACTAAGGCTTTTGATGAAGTTGTCTCGCTAAGAACGTCGAAGCACTTGGGAGCTTGCCTTGCACGTGATGTTTTGTTAGCCTCACATAAGCCACGCCGCTTGCGGCTGAGCTACCGGCTTGCGATTGAAGCGCACCGGTTCACTCTTCTCGTGGCATGTACCTGCATGATGGAGTGAGACATTTGCAACCGCATACCAGTTTTGAGAAAGGTAAACAATTGTCTATGGAAACGCATAATTAACTGTAATTTAGCAGCCGATCTATGGATATTTTTATACACATGTTGAATATATTCCTTCATTGTACCTCATCTATTACTAGACCCGCATGCCTGAAATGGCCTCTGGCACTATTCTCTCGAGCTCCCACTGTATCTACGCACTGTGCGAGATAATTTTCAAAGCCTTGGCTAGGGTCTTCCTCGTAGAGGTACCAATGTCGCCTTATAAAGGCCTTCAGCTCGGCAAAGAACTCTTCAATTGGGTTCAGATCAGGCGAGTACGGTGGTAGGAATATTAATTTTACCCCCTTCTCGGAGCATAACTGCTCTACTCGCTCGGAGTGATGAAATGCAGCATTATCCATTACAAGCACGGACCTTTCTTCTGGGTACTTCCTACAGTACCGAAGGAGATCTTCGATGAACTCCTCAAAGACAACTGCGTCTGTTGTGCCATTGAAGATGCGGAACAAGACAACACCATCCTGGGAGTATGCAGGTAGAATCTGGTAACGTTTGTCGCGATGAAACCGGGATACTTGCACTGGTGCAATACCACTAGGGGCCCAGCCCGTGCGTCTAAATCCTATCCGCTTGTCACATCCAGATTCATCAACAAATACCAGTTGGTATGACTTGAATTCAGTTATTTCATGGATATATTCATCGCGTAGATCGGGATTCTGCTCTTTTGCTTTCTGCTGAACCGTCTTTTTGGACCAACCGACCGAGGAAAGGGCCCTGCTTATGCTGCTGGTTGCTACTTGCAGGCCAAACTCATCCCAGAGGAACATTGCCATCTCGTCTAGGTACAAGCCAGGCTTTTCAAGAAGGTGTTCGCATAGTGCTTCCAGCATGACCGGTGTGATTAATCTCGCTCGGCCAACTCGAGTTGGCGGTGCTCTAGGAGAGCCGAAGACCCGCAGGTTGGAGCGGATATATTTGACCGCCTGCTTACTGCATTCGGCAGCTTTAGCGGTTTCCGAGATAGACATGCCGCAACTCGTCATAGAGCATATAAGCTGGATCTTTGATGGCGATAGGTGTGGTGCCATTGCTGTACTACCTTTGGCAGTATAGCAACTTGACAGTATGTTTGAAGAGAAAGTCGAAAAGCAACAGTGAGGTGCCCCTGTTGGACCGTTGCCTGGACACGGAAGCTTCTAGATTGCGGTATTCCTCTTACGTGTACTACTGTAAGGTTAAGAAGTAAGGTCATCAAAATTACAAGACGTGTCCATTAGTGCCAAGAGCACTAATATGCCCGTCTAACCGTATATAGGCTAGTGTAATAAGGCTAGGGATTGGGAAAGAATCTGGAGACTCTGGGGTAGGCATGGTAATTGTGCAAGATACTGTAACGCCGCTCTGTGCCACGCCACGAGACATGGCACACACTCTGCACCGCAACATTTGGCTCAGGCCCTTTTTCCTCCCCTCCAAACTCACGGACGGATGTCTGGGTGGTGGACAGACCAAAGGCGAAGAAGAGAAGAGCAGATCTGGGCTGGGAGTTTTGTCACCGGTCAAACTTACCAGACAAAGGGGCGAGGGAGCATTGAGTGGTTAACGTCACCGAGAGTCGCCGCCCGTGGGCCATCCGCGGAGGATTTCTGGTCAGCACCTGGACTCAGCCGGGCAAGAACGATTCATGAATCATCAAACAGTAATCCGTCCAGTTGACGGGCAGCCCTGGCACCGGGAAAAAGTAGCCGATCGGTGCCCCCCTCTGCGGTGCCCCACTGGCTGCAGTGCCTGGTGCCTCACCACTCACCACCCACCACTCTTTTCTTGGACGGGCCTCCTCCGTTATATGAACTGTCCAAGAAGGACCCTTGATCCAGACGACCATGGCACCGCTCCAGACAGACCTGGGCCGAGAACTTCTTTTGGGGCCAATTTAGCCAGCCTTACCGAGAAACAACCTCGAAGAAGCCCATTCATCCGAATTGGTGGTGGATTCTCGAAGAAAGTGTTCAAACCCTTGGGAAGGGTCTTCGCCAGCCAGCCCATCTTGTTGCCCGCCTCCTACTCTGGCGATTGCTAAGCGCTGGGTTCCTGATACGGGGTTCATACCGGCGCGTACGAGCGGTATTGATTCGGTGTGCCCATACTCTCTCATTTTCTGTCTTCCTTGGGAAACTAGATACCTCCAATCTCGCCATATCGGTGTATCAGGTACTTTGCCTCGTAGATATTATCGTATCTCTCTCTGTTCTTTTCCCTTTTCTCTGCGATATGTCTCGAAGGGATATAACCGGGGTTGCCGACCGATGACCACTCGATGAAACAGAATCCTACAGTCCAACTTCCCATCGTTCAGGCAAATCCAAGGCTCCAACCGTCGGCGAGACTGGCTCATGAATTCATCCAACTGGAGTATCTCCACCGGTCTTGCGATCGATGATTCGTGTCCATCGGTCCGGACCAAGTCGTCAGTACCTGGGGCTAAAAGAGTTTACCTATCAACCTTCACTCTCAACCCCCCGGTGAGTTCATTATTCGCCCGAACTCAATAGAGGACAAATCCGCATCGTCACCGTCATGTTGATCAAACTGTAAACTCAGGCGCTATCCGTTCCTCTCCAACGATCGTACGTAGCATTGCGGCGGTGACTGGCCAAGTCGCCGCTCTCTATCTAAGTACCCTGTACCCCCAACCGAAGGTACTCAGCCTTGTAATTTGAATAGATGGTGGTTTTTCTTCTTTCTTGTAGGGTAAATTCGTCTGGTACCCAAAGGGGGAAAAAGAGAAGAAAAATATTAAGTAAAATAAGGATTCTAACTCTTTCTGGATGAGTATTCGACTTTATACTTACCACTACCACTACTACTACCGCTACCACTATCTTCCACCATTACTACTTACTACTTAGTATTCTTATTCTCTCTCCACCGGTTTCCCCCCCCTCCTCTTGACGCCTGTTTCGTCTCTTTCTGACCCTCTCTCTCTTTCTCTCTTCACCTTTCTCCCTTCTCACCTCCTCTTTCTTCTCTATCTACCATTATCTACTATCTCTTCACTACTACACTACTCTTTCTGTCGGTGCCCCCTCGTTTCGCCGTCCGCTGCCGAATCGACCGTTGTTTCCGATAAGCCTCCAGTTGCTTCTCCATCTACTCCTGAAGTGTTTCTGGCTGGGGTCCTGACGCCCGGCACTATCGTCGTCACCATTCACCTGTTTGGGGTGGGTGGGTTGCCGTCATCTTCACCCTGGTTACAGGCTACACACTACTAGTACTACTACTTGTATGGACTCTCGCCCTTCCCTTCCCTCCAATCTAAAGTTTGGGATCCATCAGCCTCCTCCTCTTCCTCTCTTGTTGTTCTTTTCCTTCCCCTACTTACTTGACTTTCCCGTCTCACCCTCTGACCGTCCATCCTTCTTCCCTTTCCATTCTTTCCCATCCTTCCTTTCCCTTCCTTTCCAACAAACAACCCCCCTCCTCCCTCCCCTCATCCTTCCCATCCATCACCGCCCCTCGTGGCCCTGGTGCCTGTACATCATCGCTTACTAGTGCCCAGCCTAGCTTGGACCTGGTTGGTTTCGTCCCTATACTATTTATATGATTCATACAATTTTTGATTTTTTGTGGCAATCCATATCACATTTTAGTTTCTGAATTCGGTTGTTGTTGTTTTTCTTTCTTTTTTTCATCCTGTTCTATTTTCATTTGACTTCTCCGTTTATTGTTTCCGTTGCGCATGCCTGGTTTCTCCCCGGACGATCCGTAAACCAGGGGCCCGATCGGTTCGCGATACACCTATTTTTATTGCCATTAGTTCAGGTCTTGGCTGGGTCGGTGTCCTGACTGTCATACCCACAACCAGGACTCGACGTCGGCGGGAAACTCGATCGAGTCCGCCAAATCTCTCCAAACAACAACCACCGCTGACCACCAACTACCACGTCCTCATCCTCCGTCGCCGCCGCCGCCTCTTTTCCTATTAGTGATCACCGATACAACTGCCTTAAACCTCACCTCCCTCCCTTCTCCGTCATCGTATCCTTCTGCCCGTTCAGTCCACCAGTCTTATCTGTCGGGCGATCAACCAGCTGTCCCTACCTCCTCTCGGCCAGGTCGATCTGTGAGCGATGCGTCCTCACACCTAATGGTCGTGCCCTTCCATCTATCGTGTACAACCTGGCTACCCTTGCTTCGCCATCTTCGTCGGGCATTCGGCTAAACAGGTCATCGCCATTTGTCTCCAACATTCCTCACTTTTCAACCCCTCGCTCGGATTTCAAAACACACCTTGAGTTACCTCCCCTCCTTCGTAAGTTTTCCAAAATTCTTTTTTTTTCTCCCCCTCCTCGTTCGCCCGATACCAGAAACCCCAGAGATCCCCCTCACTACTCCCTTGCTGGTAATGTTTACGCCTTCTTTGGGGTGGTAAAATTTATTCACAACGGAAATAATGTTTAAACACGATGGTTCATTTGCTTACATTGCTGCGCACATTTATCCAGTAGTCAGCATCGTGCGATCGACACCGCGTTTTTGACATCTTGAAACCTCCATCTTTCACCCTTGAAACGGCTCGAGCTCGCATCCCGTCGATCGCTCGCCTGCCCGGTCTTCAGAACAGTACATAGATACTCGGTGGAGTCGAGGGTTGCCCTCGCTGTCAATATGTCTTCATTTTTTCCTGTGAATAATATTTCATCGCCGCCAGACCGCGTCATGGAGGAGGCGACAACATCTTCCACACCTCGTCCTCACGCCAAGCCCGGCGCGGCGCCCCAAGATACGACATCGTCCATGATCGCCGCCCACGACGAAAGCACACCTCGGAACATAAATAGCATCGAAGACTCACATCACCATGCCGACTCCCAGGGGAGTGCATCGCTGACCTCAGAGGATGCCGTACACGGTGAGTCGGACGAAGGATCTGAACATGAGGCGGAAAATAAGGGTGGCGCTCCACCCTCGAAAAAGAAGAAGGGTCAACGATTCTATTGCACAGACTTCCCACCGTGTAACTTGAGTTTTACAAGAAGTGAACATCTTGCTCGACATATCCGCAAACATACCGGAGAACGTCCCTTTCAGTGTCACTGTTCACGTCGCTTTTCCCGTCTCGATAATCTGCGACAGCATGCTCAGACGGTGCACGTCAACGAGGAAATTCCGGGAGACTCTCTTGCAGCCACTGGAACACGATTTCAGCGCCAGATCCGGACAGACCGTGTACGACCCCAGGGTCGAGCTAGAGCAGGAACCGCGGGCAGTCAGGGAACCCATAGCAGAGGTCACAGTCGAAACCTATCTGCCTCGAGCATTACCTCAACTGCGTCCACCTTCAGTCAGCCCCAGGAGCTTCGTCGCCGACCTCCACCCTTGATGATGGCGAATGATAGGGCGCGTCTGATGGAGCCGATGGACGCCCCTAGCACGCCACCAGCCCGCGGAATACCCGGTCCAACAGCCGGCGGATCTCCCTACACGCCGTCTCACCACATCTTCTCAGCGGGCGGCAACGGCAGCCCGCACGTGGCTTCCCCCATCTCTACGGCATCACAGGCCTCGGGCTTCTGGGAAGGCAAAACTGCCGCCCGCCGTCTATCCGTTCCTACGGGTGCGAACCCATTCGCGTCGCAACACGTCAATGCCTACCCGCCGAACTACGTTCCGACGCAAGCGTATGCTCCTCATGGAGGCGTCTACGCGAGCCCTGTCAGCTCGTCCTACTCACTCTCCCGCGACGAAACAAACCACGGTGCTACCGACGCTGATCTCCGGAGAAGGACTTGGCATCCTTCGACTTGGTCTACGGTCCCTCGACCTGCTACAAGCGGTCTTAGCAATTACCAGACACCAGAAGTGTTTAAGCCATCTTTTGGCGCCAATGGATCAACAGAGCAGCCACCGCGGCTACCTGGAATTGAGAGCTTTGATAAAGTGGTGGCTCAAAGGCCCTTGACACCGCCCGTTCGGCGGTCGAGTCCGATGCAAATCGACAACCCTAACAAGCCTCCTCCGAATTATAACCTTGCCGGGGGCTACAACTACACACAGCCCACTAAACGACCGGCGCCGCCAATCTCTGGCCCTGGTCATCGACGGGGCCATGTCTCTTGGGACATGTCATTGCACACGAACCTTACTGGCCTGCACATCAGAGACAAGCCTCCACAGCGGGACGCATCGAACTGGAGCCAGCAGACCATTGCAGAGATTCACAATGTGGGATCTCGCCCCTCGTCTTCGTACCAACCACAGTTCCACGAATACCGAGGGCACGGGCATGCTCCTTCCTACAGCAATGCTACCTCGAGCTCTCAGGCCACGCGAACTTCGCCTGAGGACTCCAGTAGCAGTGAAGGGGTACATACTCCCTCAACGGCGTCCCTGGAATACCATCCCGCCATTGTGCACAACAGTGGATATGTGGAGCCGCACCACCCCCCGTTTACATCCGATACTTCTCATGCAGTACGCACCCGTTACCCGGAGTATCGCTGAGGGCCAAATCACTGATTGAACTGCAGGCCTGTCCCCCGCTTCCCCCACAGACTGATAGCTATCACGGCAAACATGATCCACGGTCCGAATTCCTGCCCCACACCGCCCGAGAGCCTGGAATGGGTCGGCTGGAGGCACTGGTTGCCGTTGCCACGAGTGAGAACAAAAGCGCAGCGAAGCTGTTCCTGTAAAGAAGTCTTGGTGTGAACATGTTGGGATGTCCTCTGCGAGCAGGGGCTTTGAGTGGTTTCAATTCCGAAGTCGATCTTTCTCGGTTTTCCCGCCATTTCCTCTTTTGTTTCGAGCCGGAGTTGTATAGTACGGGGCGCCCGGTCTTTTTCTTTCTGGGGGATCCTCTACATTTTCTTTGTTCTTGATATAACTGCGGATTGCTAGATACTTAGCCTCTCGTTACTCGGAGCTGCACACCACCGCTCGGCTGCGGGAATCTTTATGATGTGATGACTGACGAATAATGCATCAGTGGGTTGGATCGATATATGGGCTTCTCTGACAATTGCTGTGTCTTCGTTCGGGTGTTTTCTTTTCTCTTCGTCTTTTGGTTTTCTTGTCCGGTTGCATGTTTTGGCGTTCTCATCACCTCCGGTCTGCTGTCCATAGTGCATGAAGATACCCCCGGCCTTGATCTCGAGCTCAGCTACGAGGTTATGGAAGGAGTTTCCTACTCTGGTCGTGGTGTGGCTTCAATTGTGTGTTCGGCTTCTGTCTATATCTATCCATTGCGCTCTCCTTGTGGTGTCCAAGTGTGGCCCTCTGTGTATTTCATTATATGTGTCTTTTTTTCTGCGACAGTGAGGATTCAATTAGCAACCAGCTGCGGGTAAAGTGATAAATGTCAGAGATTCAATTCCATTCCAGTTGTACTTGTAACTGGTGGGTAACTACTACATAGTCAACATAAAGTAGATAAAAGCCCCATCATGACGTGTTCGATTCACTCCAGCCCACTCCAGCAGCATCAACCCCATGTCCTGCGTTAGTACTTGTGTCAGAAGCAAGAAGAGTTGGGCCATGGAAGCCGTTGGACCCGATGACCTTGCAGTGACGTAGTGTCGGTCCCGCAGCCGATCCTCGCCGCGCCGGAGCAGCATAGCTCTGTAGTTATCTGCACCCGCCTATACCTCTACTACAGACAATGTATGGGAGAAATATCAAAATACAAACCTTTTCTACTCTGGATGCAAATATCCAGATCAACTAATTTGCACAAGAAAAAACACCCTGTAATCTATAAGTAAAACAAACATACAAAAACAAATCAAGAACCGACTGCACCACCCGACAAGAGGAGAAGAAGACCGAAGCCGGACCCCCCAACCCCCCAAAGACGTCATACCCTGTGACACTGCCTACTAGTTAGTTAGCCACTGTACTCATTACTTTCTCTCTGCCCAGCCTAACAACCAAAGTTCATTTCCAACTTCAACTCATCTACAATCTATAAGTACCTGTCTGTTGTCTCCCTCCTGTACCGGATTTCATTCAAGCTTGCAAACAATAAGCATTCCATTCGAATTGTCTATACCCTCTGAAGAAAGTTCATACATACATACATACACATCACATCCACCATGTCGAAGAACCCTACCGCTCTCTACCTCGGCATTGCTGCCCTCGGCGCCGGTGGCTACTACATGTACCGCGCTGGAGGCGATCCCAAGGTTGCGAAGGAAGAGATGAGACGTATGCTTCTCCCTTAATTCATTCATTGTATTGTGATCATGTTGAGGGGTGTTGTTTGCTAATGCTGGATGTTCGATGGTAATATAGATGACGCCCATCTCGCCCGTCTCAAGGCACCCACAGGCGATCAAGCCGAGAAGGCAGGTGAAAAGGCAGCGTATGAGGCGCGGTTGAATGTTGATGAGGCGGTATGTCTATACCCTTGGTTTCTTAAACTGTTTACTTCATGGTAGTGAGACGATGGATGCTAATGATATTGTGTGATGATGGTAATAGATCGACACCGCCAGCAAAGACGCCAAAGATAGCATGAACCGTCTGGAGAAGATTGGTCGCGACAAGACGGCTGAGTTGCGCTCAGGAGCAGAGAAGTTGGAGGGTAAGGTGGAGGAGAAGGCGGCGGAAGCGAAGGGGGCCGTGTCGGGGTGGTTTGGGGGGAAGAAATAATAATCTTACAGCCTCTTGGAAGTGGTTTTATATGATTTGATGATGAGGAGGAAAGTGGTGATTGAAAATGAGGCTTAGCTGGGCTGGGCTTTATGATGATGCTGATGCTGTTATAATATGCATCGTTCTTATAATTATCGTGATGATAAGAATGACGAGTGTCTTGTCTTGATATGTTCTTTATGTACTTATCTACGTATTTCTGGGTTAAGGTGATGGTGTTATGTTAATGAATGATGCATTGATCTACCCATCTTCTCTCCAATCCCGAATATTGGTGTCTTTATAGGTTGGAATATGGTTTAGTGGGATAGTTACGTAGTTGTGCGGAGCCAGATTACTGTGTGACTTAGTAAGGTTAGATAGATGACTTGGTCTAGCCAACTACCCAACCAAAGCGCAAAAATAGTGGAGATAGAGAGAGACAGAGGGAGCAATGTTCTAGAGCATACCTCCGTCCCCAATCTGCAGGACTTAGTACTAGCTTACAGTGCGGGGGGAGGGGATGGGGGGTTACGGTATGCTGCATTCCGAGACTGATTATTGCTCTAGAGACTGAGAAGTATCAACATACATACCTTC